TGAACACTTGTATCTGAGGCAGGAAACACAGCCTTATATGGTGTTTTTAAGGGTGATAATTATGCTAATCTCCTCTCGCGTGCACGAGCAGCTGGACAGAACAGGTGGAATTTACGCAGCTCATTTACACACTTTTCCTGAAGATAGAAGAGTTTGATGAATCTTCACCCTTGAAAGGGGTCCCCAGACCCCTGCCATGGTGCAGCTTTATAATTTATAGGAGCACAGAGGAGCCACGGAACAAAAGCTCCAGGGAAACCAGGATAACAGGAAGAGTCGATGATAAAGTGCAGCCTAATGCGAGGTTTTTGCAGAATCCAGAGTAAGGTTATCTTTGATGTTAAAACAACTTTGTTTCCCAGACACACCCTCCCCTTCCTCCAGCCTCACGTCTGCCTCCTTCCTTCCCTCCCCGCCATCCATCTCCGTCACCGTCTGACATCAGTTAAGGAGAGGTTCCTCTCCACAGTCAGATTCAAAACACGGACGTGCCGCGGCACGCCTCCAGCTAACCACCCGAAAGCTAACGAGATAAAAACGTGGGGCTTAAGCGTCTCCGCTGCATGAAACAACAGACTCGTTATTTCCCCTGACGTGCTCACCGCTGCACACGGTTTAATGCCACCTGTTTTTATCGTTCAGGACCGTCCAGGTGAAAAATAAAACCTGCAATAACAGAAGTGAAAATAGTTCCATATCGCTGACATTTAATACTTTAAATACTGTTGTCAGGAAAACATGAAAAAAATAACCGGGCCTTATTGTGACTATCAGTTTCAGGGAAGAGTTAAAAACTGGCTGCGGATGAATTAACACAGGTGAGCTCACCTGCACAGTTTCTGTATGACTCAGGTTTGTAATGAGTAGGCCTGGGTGAAATGTGCGAGTACGTAGGAGTGATTTATTGGTTACCGCTAAGCCTTGTGCAGACAGCTCTGCCTTCGCTGGAGGTACCACCCACCAGGCAGAGATTCGTTCTCGCACAGCCAAAATTAAAGCTGAACAACAGCTTTCAAACAACAGCGGGTTACGTTTCTACGAGCATCAGACAAAACAAAACTCAGTCCGGTTATAGATCTCGTCTTGAACAGTCTGAGGACATGGCGCCTGTTAGAAAACACCAAGTTCTTTTATCAGAGAACAGGTCAAAAAAAAGAGGATTTGCAGTGAAAGCTCCCATCCTGAAGAACAGAAAATGAAAAACTTCATTATTGGAGGAAAACACATTTTTAAATAAAAGGTGTAGAAACATACACTGGATGGAAATAAATCTTGACATTGCAGAAGCTTATGAAAACACAGAGAGTGTGCCGCAATCAAAGCTAAAAGTCCAACAAACTATTAGTGACCTCTGTTTTTGACCAGGCAGTGTAGAATATACTCATTTCATTACTTTCAAACCATAAAAATAAAATATTTACTTTAAAATTTAACATCTTGCTACAAATTTTAAATCTGAACGAAACTCATCACACTCAAAAAACAGATTGTTGGATTTACTGAAACAACTATTGTCAACAAAGTAAAGGAACTAACATTTTCTTTAAAAGGAAATGTGAAAGTTGCTTTACACTTTGGTTGAGTGAAAACAGTTCACTTTGTTTCTACACTCTAAAACAGGCATTGGCAATCCTGGTCCTCGAGGGCCGCAGCCCTGCATGTTTTACTTTTCTCTGCTCAAACACACCTGATTTGAATGAATGGGTGATTATCAGGCTTCTTCAGTACGGAGAACCGAAACTGAACAATTAAAAATAAAAATAATTAAAAATAAAAGAAATATATAAATTGACTAATAAATAAACACACTTAAAGTGCACCAATAAAATTCAAAAGGAGAATTTTATTTAAAGTATATACCATATTTTATATTTATATATATATATATGTACACACACATACATAAAGACAGACAGTTAAATAAATAAATACAATTAAAAATGTGCCAATTAAATTAAAAAAGGAGAGCTTTACCTCACGTTTTGTATTTTAATTGACCTTAATATTTATTTTCCAACTTAGTTCCAACAAATATGTTTTTTGCAAAAAAGTAAAATGTAAATTAATTATGTGCTATATATATATATTTGTATGTGACAAAAGCTATATATATTTAAATCGTAAAATGTAAATTATGTGCAAATATATATATATGTATTAATTATACATTATATTATAATTATTTATTACATTATATATAATTATATATTAAAAACAATAAAAACAGTAAAATGTAAATTATGTGCAAAAATGTATTATTAGTTGGAACTAAGTTGGAAAAATAAATATGAAGGTCAATTAAATTATAAAACGTGAGGTAAAGCTCTCTTTTTAAAATTTAATTGGCACTTTTTTAACTGAATTTATTTATCGGTCCATTTATATATTTCTTCTTTTTTTCTAGTTATGTCAGTGTCGGTCC